TTGGTTTGGGTTTTGGAGATTGGTTTGGTAGATATTGTTCCGTCGGTTTTGTTTTGGAGATTGGTATAGTGAAGATTGTTTTGTTGATTTGTTTTGGAGATTAGTTCGGTGAAAATCGTTCTCTCCGTTCATTTGTTTGGTTTGGTGGATCCTTAAAGAAGGATCATTTATTCGTTAGTTCCCTAATGAAGGATCATTTGTTTGTTAGATCCCTAATGAAGGATCACTTGTTTGGTGGATCCTTCTTCCGTAAATAATGATCATTTGTTTCGTGGATCCCAAAAGAAGGATTATTTGTTTTACGGATCCTTAAAAAAGATTTTTTGTGGCGGATCCTTGAGGAGGATTATTTGATTGATGGATCTCTAGAGCGGATAGTTTCTTTGATGGATTTCTGGAGAGGATCGGTCAATTGTTGGATCTCTAGAGAGCATTAGCTGATTTTAAGACAATCAAATGGAAAAGCTTTTAAGGCTACTATGAGTATCATCACGTATTAGGTTGTCTACACCTTATTTGTTACAAGCTGTATATGTATGCTTCGGCTTGGGTGTGTTATGGAATATATTATAAAATATCTTTTTATAGTAGGAATGATATATTAGAAATATGACTGAAAGATATTAGGGATGTGATTGAGATATAATAAAGGAATATGCTAAAATTATGTTTAGTATATTCCTAAGAATATGTAACATGTGTTTATTTTCTATTAGTATAAATATAAAAGATCAACATAGCTCTAGAACTGAGTCTCTGGCTCCCCTCAGAATTAATTTCAACAATAGCATTGCCTTGTACGTGTAAATATGTATGTGCATGTGCACGCGTTGTCTATATTTATCAACTTTTAATACGCATGGAATTTTAGGACATTATAACAGTTGCTAAATATTGTTGTTCCTTAAAACAAGTGCAAGAAAGAAGTTTCCTTGTGAAGTATATAATATTTGTTCAAGAGGTGTCTTAAGGCATGTTCAAGAAATTTCCAAGAATTTACAAAACTACATACAGTGTCATTTGCATACCTGGCTGAAAGTGATCCCCTAGGCATAGGGTTACTCACGATTACTCAGACCATACTTGTAAGTCTGTAAAATGTTTGCCACATAGATGGTTTCCTTAAAAAAGCTTTTTTCACGGCTGATCATGATGCGTCAAGTTTTGCGACCACACTTTCGGAAAGCACCAAGTTATGAAAATGACATTATTGAGAATGAAGATGACATTAAGTCTTTTTGAAATTTCATGAGAGTTATTAATAGGAAAAAGTTTTGATGTTTGGTGTATAACATTAAGTAAAAAAACAGTTCTAAAATACTCACTATTGCTGTGATCCATGCAGCTAGCTGAAGAGATTTTCCTTTTGATCTTGGAAAAGATTTTGTATTAGTTTTATTGCTGTTATTATATGTAGCTTTGAATGATATGTGAGCTGTTCATTAACTAACTGTTTTAAGTTTGTCAATATAAGTGGCTAACTATTGGTATTACAGAAGCAAGAGTTTGTTCAGATTCTGCCATAAACATCATTTGTTTGTTGTTGTAGCCATCACTGAAACAAGGCGTGTTGTTTTCCATGTAGAGGGAAGTATTCAGGTGCATAGAGTTTAAGTAAAGTGTGAGACTAAGTTAACAGTCTCTGAGAGTGGTTATCCTTACCAGTAAGTGCTTTAGGGTTTCATGGTAGAGCGTAAGGAGCTGGCTTAGACATTTTGTTGAGAAGTCTTCTTTCTTTTCTTCTTATACTTTTAACATTCTTTCCCCCTTGCATGAAGGTTTTTTCCCCCTTTCATGCTATGATAGTCCTGTAAACTTATGCATGACCAGCTAAGTCTTTTAACTTTCCTGTGCTACATAACTCACTAACTTGTTCATCCTATCTCTCTTAAGAACATCTCTAAAGTTACTCGTGAACTCAGTAGCAGTAAATTTGGTACACCAGAAAACATGAATGACCAATCTGAAAAAAAGGCATGAGCACCATATCACTGTCCAATTCATTCTGGTTCTCTTAAAGATGGTATAATTATCTTTGAATACTGAAAATCAACTGTGTTAATCAAGCATTAATTTGGGGCCAGGATTTTATATAGCTTAAGTGTTTACCACTCCAGGTCAAGTTGAAGTGCGGCATCTGATATCTGTGTGAACTCTAGTTTGTTTCTGAATACATGTTTTCGTCTAATGTTGATTACATAGAAGTTATTTTGCCCTGTATACGATTGGTCTAAGTGTAACATATGTCCTCTTTGCATTGAATGATGAAAAGAAAATATGTTCATGGGTTAATGCTGTTACTTAATATATTATGCAAATATTTCTTTTTGTTTTTTCTTTCTAGAGTCTGTGTTGTTAAATATGTCTGTCAAGTGAAATGAGCTGTCAAGTGAATGAGCTGTTCATAGATAGTTCATGTTCTGCTGAATATTTTGCTCAGGTCAGGGTCGTTCAATTAATAAAATCTATGAAGCACGGACACGCATAACATGAAGCCGTGTCGTGTCGTGTCCGTGTCGGACACACATGTCGAACACACGTATCCTATATATTTTTTAGGATTTGCCTCGTGTCGGCATGTCGGATGGCCGTGTCGGATCTGTGTCCGTGCTACATAGAATAAAATAACCTAACTTGAGCATAAATATCATCTGGAAATTATAATGGGCTGAATTGGGGTTGGTGTGTATTCTTTGATCGCTAAAGAAACTGTATATCCCTGCATTTGTGTTTACGCATGTGCATGTGCATGTGCATGATGTATGTAGGTGTGTTTATGCACGCATTTGTATGTTTGTGGTTTCTCTTTTGTATTAAAACTATGTGATTATTGTTTCTGCTAACAAAATGGTAAGGTGCCTGCAGATCCACATGTAATTCATTTGAGCTTATGGTATTAATTTGAGCAACTGACTTGAGCGACCCATTTACGTTTATTTTCCATTAGCTAACAAAACTTGAGAGTTTGAATAATGAGGGAAGCTTAAGCTCACTGCTCACCTGCTTGAGCTTAAAATGTAAATGGGTTTAACTCAAGTTGGTCGTTTTGAATTTATCAAGCCAAAATTGAGCTGGTGTGGCTTGATCAAGTTTGGTTCACTGACAACCCTGTAAATGGGTTTCATAACTAGATGGATCAAATTTTGGAATAAATGGTTATGGAGCAGTTTGGTTGCTGATATTTTCATGGTTTGACTGATAAGTAAAAGCAATGTTATGACAAGTGAGAGGGTCTGTTTTTTTGTTTAGTCAGGAAACTTGCAGCTTTATTAGCACTTGAGAAAAATGACTAACTTGGAGGTTTCCTTCGTTAGTTGCTCTTGCTTATACTTGAGCCCGCTTAGCTTGTGTAACCTTTTAAATATCAGCAACCAAACAAATATTGGTTCTTTGGCACTCATCTCCCAAACAGTTTTCTTGTAACTCATCAGTGCATTAAAGATTCGGAATTGCCATCATGGCCTCTTGAAGATCCTAAATCATTATACTTCACAAATGGGAAACTTGACCTTATTTTCACTTTAATCTCTTCTCTATGTGCCAGTTTTTCACGTTGGCACGTTGGTTCTGCATATCATCTGAGGATTCTTCCTGGAAAATAGGTATGTCATCTTTTTTTACTTTTTCTTATGATGTTTCAAGTTGGAGCAGTTTTGCTGTTAGCTTGAAACGCCATGGAAATTGTATTTTCTAACAAAACAAAGACAAGTTGCCTGTGGATGCACATGGAAATTGGATTTTAATAATAATTTGAGCAACTGGCTTGAGTGTGCTTATTTACATTTTCCCCTTTAGTCAGCGAAGCTTGAGATTTTGAAACTCAAAATGAAGATCAAGCTAACCTACTTGAGCTCAAAATGTAAATGAGTTTAACTTAAGTTGGTAGTTTTGAATTTCTCAAGACGAATTTGGGCTCGTATGGGTATCAAGCTGAGCAAGTTCAGTGTACGCTAATCAGACGACTGCTTGAACATGGCTCATTTACATTTTTTCCCCAAGCTTTATTTAGCAGAACTTGATTGTTTGAAACTTGAATCTCAAGCTAACATACTTTAAGCTTGAAATGTAAATGAGTTTAACTCAAGTTGATCGCATTGAATTTCTCAAACGGAACTTCAGCTGGTTTGGCTCGATCAAGCTTTGTTCATTGATAGCCATGTGAACATGTTTTAACTAGATGGATGGAATTTTGGAATAAATTGCTGTGGACAGTTTGGTTGCTGATATTTTCATGGTTTGACTGATAAGTGAAGGCATTATTATGACATGCGGAAGATTTGTTTTTTGTTTAGTGTTTAAACCTGGAACTTGCAGCTCTTGTCACACATGAACGTGGCTATCTTTGAGGCTCCTTTTGTTGTCTGCTCTTGTTTATACTTGAGTCTGTTTAGCTCGTGTAACCTTTTAAGTATCAGCAGCCAAACAACCCTTTGGTTCCTAGGCACTATTCTTCCAAGCAACTTTCTTGGTCACTCATCAGGATGTTGCAGATTCGGGATTGCCTCCATGGCCTCTTAAAGTTCCTAATCACTTTACTTCTCCAATAGGACCATGACCTTGTCACTTTGATCTCTTCTCTATTTGCCCTCTTTTCTGACGTTGGCACATTGTTTCTGCATACTATCTGCATATTCTTCCCAAAGGATAGGTATGTGATCTTTAACTTCTCTTCTTACATTCAAAGTTGGAATATCTTGCTGTTAGCTTGAAACGCCATGGGTGTTTTCCTGCCATGGCAAGAGTGCTGCTTGTACTAGCTGTAGCAGAATTTACATTCATTTTCATGTATACTGGCTTTGGGCATCGTGATGCTCAGACACCTCAAATCACTCATCCTGTACTTGTAGTATGCTTGTGGGTTCTGCTACAGCTCTGGGCTTTTAGATTTTGCAATATTTGGAGTAGATCAGTTTCATCATCCAAAAGTTCGTTCTTATTTATGCATCTTTCACCATAAAGTGACTCCAACTCAAGCTGTTTCTTGTGTGAACTTCCTACAGGGTGTTAGTGGTGGCGGCAGAAGGGGTGGAACCCCATTCCGAGGTGGTGGCAGAAGGGGTCGAGGGCCATTCAGGGGTGGACGTGGTGGCAGAGGGCGAGGAAGAGGGAGGAGACAACATCAATATGAACCTGCTCCTTACTCTCAACCAACTCAAGCTGCAACTGCTCCTTCTGGAGAGCAGTCATCAGCACCTGGTGGAGAAATGCAGCAGGCACCAGCAGTACATGCTCGCGGCCGAGTGGCCTGGTGTGACATTTGTAGGGTTGACTGCAACAGCTGGGATATACTAGAGCAGCATAAGAATGGGAAGAAACACAAGAAAACCCTGCTGAGGCTTGCCGAGTTTGAGAGGCAACAGAAGTTATATCCTGAGCTACAAGCAGAGCCCATGCCTGTTGCAATGCTCCCAAATGCTGTGACGGATAAGGCTGCTGAGGTTGTTTCTGTTGCTCCGGAGAATATCATGATAGCTGCAGCCTCAACTGTTGTAGAGAGTGAAGTGACTCATACCCCTTCTGTAGCTCAAGTGGATGACACAAGCAAAACCTTCAATCCTGAGGAAAGTAAGCCTATTCAACAAGGCTTGGAGTTGGAAGTTCAAGCAGCAGGGCAAGAGCAAGTTACAGAGGGGTCAAGAGGACCACTGAGATCTGATGGTCATAGCCAATTTGATACGAGACGTGGAGGAATGAAGAGGAAGAGCAATAAATCTGGTCGAGGTGGAAAGCGCCTTAAGAGCTTTGAACCGGCAAGAGCACGAGCTCCACAGCGTCAGAAAGACCGACCTAGGTTCTGTACTATCTGCAATGTACTGTGTGAATCTCTTGTTGTGTTTGATGCACATGTTGCTGGTAAGAAGCATCTCTCGAAGCTCAAGCGTTTTCAAGGCCAAGGCACTGTTTTTGGGCCTATCACTATTTATATTCCTCCAAATCAGCCATCGCCTTATCCAAAACAAGGTCCCGAGCCATTGTATTTCGGCCTCACAAGTCAAGAGATGCTCCAGCACGAATCATATAGGGGGTTGAATGGTTTTCAAGCTGAAAGCTATGGATTCCATCAAGGTGAAGTTAATCCAGATAACAGGAACAATGAAGCTGTACTCGGAGATAATCCTGAGAACCAAGCTACTGCTGCTGCTGATGCTCCTCTAGTTTTTGAGTCAAAAGAGCCTCCTCAGTTACCCACTGAACCTGAGGTTGCTAATTCCGAAGCAGATGCTTTATCGAGAGCAGAGTTTGGTACTTTGCCCGAGGATGATCCAGCTTTGTCTGGCCTTGATGCCAAAATGGAGCAGCCTGGTGCTGAGAGTTAATGAGCTGATAACATTTTGGTTTGTTTCTATGCTGGGTTTTATTAATGCAATGGAGTCACTAGAAAAAAAAAAAAAAACAGTTTGTTATCATCGTTTGATGTAGGGATCGTGCAGGGGATGTAGCGTATGAAACTGTTTACTTTGTAAGAACCTTGTCAATACTCACTCAGTTGTAGTTAGCATTTATGCGGCGGATGTTGCGATTGAATGCCTGATTCTCGAAACAGGTTGTTATGTTGTCGGTTATTTTCTGTTTAATTACTTGCTCAACCTTTTTTATTTGGTTTCGAAAATACATTCTCTTGTTATTATCGCTATGTTACACCCATGTCTTCGATTATGACTTATGAGCACACAAGCCTATGTTTTTCCCTAGAGGTCGATGTGTTGGTCGAAAGAAACTACAGTTGTAATTACGATCACAATTTTCAGAAGATAAATTACAGTTCCAATTTAACGTAGTATGTTTCGCTATTATTCAGCTACACTGCTCCAAGGGGAAAAAAATCATGCTCCACCAATTAAACCAAAAAATATACAGCTGTTATTTAGATATATCGTTCCAAGAAGAAGAAGAAGAAGAAAAAATACATGGTCTTTAAAGAAAATCTACAATTGTGGTATATATATACTATATAGCTACTATTGGCTTTGAATACAAAAGAATTACAATCAAATGAATCTACAGGTTTCACAAAGAAAAGAAAGGGCGGGGGTGAATCTGATGAATGCTGCTGTGTCTACTGCTG